TCCTCTCTTTACTTTGAGCATTTACTTTAAGCATTACTTTGAGCAATTCAATTCTTGTCATTTACATTCCTAGAATTGCCATGCTAGAGTAGGATTAGAACTTAGGTTGCAAGTCTATTTGTGCGATAGAACATTACAAATACTTTCTAGGCACAAGGGGTTAATTGGGCTATTAATAGGATTTAATTATTGCAAGAAAATTTAGAATTAGCCCAATTCACCCCCCTCTTGGGCATCTTGATGCTTTCAATGCCCATGGCATCAAGCGTCTCGGCGTACATGATATTGAGGCTGCTGCCTCCATCCATCAGCACCTTGATGAGCCACTTCGTGCCGATGATCGCGTCGACCATGAGCGGGTACCTTCCTGGTTGTGGGACGCTCTCTGGGTGGTCGGATCGGTCAAAGGTGATGGCGAACTTCGACACCGAAGGAAATATGGCATGGCTGGCTCGGCCGTGTAGACCTCACGACGCGCGAGCTTTCAACGACACTTGGAGTCGTAAGCCACCACCCCATCGAAGATCATGAGGTAGCCATCTGGCGTCGGAAAGCTGCCATCCTTCCCCTCGGCATCGTCCATCGCCAGCTCAGGCTTCTTCCTCTTGTCTCCCTTTTTAGAGCCATCAAACAAGAAACGCTTTATGAGGGCGCAGTCCTTGTATAGGTGCTTGACGAGAAAGGCGTGGTTTGGGCACGGCCCCTCGAGTAGGTTATCGATGTGGTCGGGAGCACCCTCGACGGGTGCCCGACCATCTTTCTGCTCGGCAGCAGCCATGAGCGATCCACGTGTCGCTGCTTGTTCTTCTTCTTGTTTGGGTGGTTGGAGGTGCCCTCGTCGGCGTCCTTGTCCCGCTTCTTTGCCCTTGGGGCGGTCGAAAATTGCTCCAATAGCCTCCTCGCCTGAGGCGTGGCTGGTTGCAATGTCAAAGAGCTCCTTGGTGGTCCGAAGGCCCTTATGTCCTAGCTTGTGGACCAGGGACTCATTGGTGGTCCTAGACAGGAAGGCTTCGATGACATCGGCGTTGGCGACATCGGGCAACTCATTGCTTTGCCTGGAGAAGCGTCGGATGTACTTGCGAAGACTTTCCCCAGACTTGTATCGGTAATTCTTCAGGTCCCAGGGGTTCCTAGGGCATGTGTAGGTGCCTTGAAAATTTCCCACAAAGATCTCCTTCAGGTTTGCCTAGCTTTGAATCCGGTTGGGCGGAAGGTGCTCCAGCCATGTTCGTGCTGAATCGGACAGGAACAAGGGGAGGTTGCGAATAATGAAGTAATCACTATTCACACCACCGGCTTGACAAGCAAGCTGGTAATCCTCGAGCCACAGACCAGGGTTTGTTTCCCTGGAGTATTTTGGGATGTTGGTCGGTGGTCGATATCGCAGTGAGAAAACCGCGTTGAGGATGTGCCGACCGAAAGCCTAGGGCCCCAATAGATTGGGGCTCAGGATCTGGTCCTCACCGTTGTCGTAGCATTCACTGTGACGAGGGTGGTAGCCACGGCCGGCCTTCTCTCTCTTGTCCCCCCGTCCATGCCTACGGGCGTCCAGGGTGTTACGTGCATCACGGTTGGGGCCGAGACGCTCATGCACCGGGACCATGACAAGCCCCCCGCCATCGCGCGACGCCTGGTGGATGAATACATCATGGCCATGTCATCCCAAAGACACGCGCTGACTAGCATCGAGCTCGTGTCACCGAGATAGCGAGCTTTCCACCTGCTGCACCGCCACGCGCTCAAGCAGCGTGCGGATCTCATGATGGGCCCGATGGTCTTCGGGTGTCGCGGGCTCTAGGAGCCCTCGGAGCAAGGCCACCATGACAGCTATGTTCTGACTTTTTCGTGCGAAGTGCGGGAGGCCACCGTCGTCCTCGATGATCCTCCGGTTTACGTCGCGGGCGATGGCATGTGCACGGCCACCGTCTCTATGGTGTTCGATCTCGCGCTCGAGCTGCACACGCTCCAGCTCTAGCTAGAGTCACGCATCCTCGATCTTCTTGTGCCATGCCCTCAACTGCTCCACCCGTAGGCGAGGCGGGGCCCTGTATCTCCCTCGACTTTGTCATAGGGGTCATTCGTAGGAGTAGCCTCCCTCGTGGATGCTTTCAACGCATCCCTTGGGGGTGCCTTCCATGAAGCATTCTCACGAGGGGTGATGGCTTCCCCTACTGGAGTCAGGGTCGGAGACCGTCTCTGAATCTCCCGCGAGAAGGTCATGGAAGGATTTCGCGACGTAGTTCGTCATACCCATGGATCCATCATCCATGGGGGACGGATGCATGCGCTGTGCCACGAGGTGACCAATGGTCCTTGTGGCGTTGCGAAGACCGAACGAGAACGCTGTCGGGGTGCTCTGAGTGAGGTATTCCGGGGAGAGCGGTTCCCCTCTGGCAAGCTGCGTCATGACATTGGCGAACGAGAAGGTGAGACATCGCAGTTTCTCCCGGGACGGTCGGGGTCCTAGGAAGGCGTCGAGCTGGCGCTCCAACCTCCCGTAATCAAAGCCGAGGAGCTGGTCGCTCCCGAGGGCACGGGCCTCTAGGGCGTGCAGCTACAGCTCTTTGAGGGCCTTGACGGTTGCGTCGAGGCTGGTGGAGCAAAGAAGTTGAACGGGGGCGGAAGCCCACGCTAGCTCTTCCTTCATGGTGAAGAAAAAATCTAGGCTCCCGAAGCGCACGTGCGCGCCCAGGACCCAGCTGACGTCGTGGCTAGCCATCCATGGCCTGTTGTAGACGATGAGACACACAAAAGGCCCCTACCTAGCGCGCCAACTGTTGGCATTTTGAATCACCGACTAGTAAATTTGTGATTTGCGCGTCTGGCCCGGATGGTGTGCTCAGAAGACACAAGAATTTATACTGGTTCGGGCGGAATGTCCCTACGTCCAGTCTATTGCTACTCATGTTATCGGCACTAGTTTGTAGTAGGGGTTACAAACGGACGAGAGAGGGAGCAGGTCCCAAGTCTTTGGTTAAATGGTCGAACGGAGTTGAGTCTCCTTGAGCTCGTTCAAGCATTTCGCGTGCCCTTCGTGGAGCGTCCTGTTTCCCCTTCTATAGATGAAGGGGAAGGCACATGTTACACGAGAGAGAGAGAGAGGGAGAGAGAAAAGCGAGGAGGAGGAAGGCCTCCGGGGTTGCGGCGCCCTTCATCTCCTTTACGCAGGTCCCGCCGGTCCTGTAGATGATGACGGGTATGACTCCACGTCGTGACCCTGTTCATCACTGGCGCTATACGTGGGCGTCGTCAGCCGATCGTGGCGCTCCATTCCATTCCGGCGGGCGGCATGGTTAGCATATATCACCATCGGAAGTCGTACGGGGATTAGGTAGCATAGCGTCGGCACGCCAGATACTTTTGGCGATGTGAGTCCTCAGGTATGGCCCGTCGTGGCCATGGGTCACGTCAAGACGCGCCTACTCTCTTTCTGGTGTTAGAAGTTTGACCCTGGGTTCGTACTCTTAGACCCGTAGTGGTTGGGGGCGGTACGGATCCCCGTCGGGCGAGGCGGAATCCCCCTTCGAGGGGTCTGGCGAGGCGAAGTCCGTGCCCGAGGGGTCGGGCGAGACGGAGCCCGTGCTCGAGGGGTCAGGCGAGACAGAGCCCGTACCTTTGGGGTCGGGCGAGACCAAAATACGCTCTTGACCATCCGGGCGAGTTAGCGTTCGCGGCCATCAACTTCTTTCTTCTAGGTATCTCTAATACTGATACCCGACAACGGTGCTCGCGCGGAGGAAGAAGACGGCGCTCGCGCGGAGGTGACTTGAACCCGTGTCTGTGGCTAGCGTCGCTTGTATAAGCCAGGCTTGCTGGGAACAGCGGGATGGAGTGTTCCAGCAAGCCAGGCAAGCCTCCCTCTTTTGCATTAGTCGGGCCAGGCAACCAAACACGAGAAAACTACATTGAGGAAGCTTGGCTAGGCCCTTAGCCGGGCAACCAAACACACTCATAATTTCCGCGTTGCTAAGAGCCTAGCTTGAGTAAGCGCACGAGGGTGGGCGAATAGAGGCCATGGATTCTCTAGCGAGCAGAAGCAAACAGTCCAAGCGAGGAACCAATCATGTGTGGTGGCTAGGTTGCATGAGGCAAAACGGGCTAACAAACAAGACGATGTTGCAAGGTACCAGGATAACTCTAGCCTAGTTCCTCCTGCGAGCTTGATCTGGGGTTGTGCACCCTACCGATCACGCCCTAAACCAACAACGCATTACGCATCACATCTAGGATTTGCGTACGGGCCTGGAATCAGAGCATACCTAGAAACAGCCCAACATTTGGTGCGCATGCATGGGCTAATGCACAAGACCATACCCAACCAACCCAACAAGTTAGCGAAAAAACCCAGTCCAACTAAGGCCCTGTTTGGCAGGGCTTCTCCACCAGTTTCAGGAGCTGTTTGGAGCCGTTTTCTACCAAACGGGGTAAAGTGAAATAGCTTCACTGGTGAAGCCCCTAAAAACATGCTCTCACAATGATTTAGGGTGGGATGTAGCAAAAAAAAATGGCTTCTCCCGACTCCTCCTCCAGGTCTCTAAAAACATGCTCCCATAGGGAAGCTATTTTGCCAAACGGTTTATCAAAACCGCTTCAGCTCCACCGGTGGAACTGTTCGTGGAGCTGAAGCTAAAAAAAAATGGCTTCAATAGTGAAGTGAAGCCCTGCCAAACGGGGCCTAAATGATGCCTCATTTCATTTTTTTTTTTTGCCTGAAACACCTTCGAATTCCGCAGCGCGAGGACGAAACCCTCGCACCGTTTCAGTTTTCCCTCCCAAACTTCCCCCAAATATCTAAATCCACGCTCCCTCGCAGGCGCTTCAACTTTCCCCTTCCCCGCAACCACCCTGTGCCCTTCTCGCCGCCTCGATTCCGCTTCTGTGCTCGGCTAGGGAGAGCGGCGGAGTTTCGGGCGGGTGACCTCTACCTCGCTGCGGCGGGGCGGCGGGGCGCCGACGCTCGCAGTCCGCTTGCTGCTGCATTTTCGAATACTGAGATGGCCATGGAGATCTCCCCGACGCAGTCGCCACCGCGGACGCCGCGTAGGGCGGCAAAGCCGCGGCTGTTCATCAAGGAGATGGTCCTCCGCAACTTCAAGTCCTACGCCGGGGAGCAGCGCATCGGTCCTTTCCACAAGGTCTCCTCTCTCTCTCTCTCTCATTCACACACGCCCACTCTCGTGGGTGCTAACAATTTGTTTAGATTTAGAAATCCTAGGAACGAAGTTTGCAATGTTGTAATACATTTACATCAACCTGTGCCTATGGAAACTTAATCTACTTGTGCACTATGTCATAGCTTCAATTTTGCTGTTCTGCCCCACTTCCAATTCATGTCATTGTTCCGCGATGAAGAAACGGTAATATGGTAATTATTCGTGGTTGCTAGTGGCAGTCAAGCCGTGATACCAGAAATCTCAGTGGAACTTCTGTAGCTAGTATTGGCTTACATGTGAGTGTGGGGGTGGCTTTAATTCCAAACCCTAGGGTACAGTTTACAGTGTAGTGTTGTCATTTACAAACTCTGTTTTACTGGTACAATTGTTAACACAGATCACTTTTGATTTGTGATACATAAACATACAACACAAATGGAATTTGTACTTGCCAGGAGAGAGGTCTTCCATTCAGTTCTATAGATTTTGTTATGATTATGCTTGCATATCTAAGGAAGTATCAATGTTACAACCAAACTCATGGTTTAGCTTGCACTTCCCATTTTGTTAAAGCTATGCTCCTGAAGTAACTGATCCTTCATCTCTGCAGAAAGTATTACAATTCATATAAAAAAGTAAAACTGCATCTAAACATAGATTCGGGCATGTTTGGGAGGGCTTCTTAGGGCTTTGGCTCCTTGCTATAGTACCCAAAAGAGCCGGAGCCGGAGCTGGTGAAGACAGTTTTTCTGGCTTCACTGACTTCTAGTTCATTTTGGAAAGAGAGAAAAATGGCTCCCTGCTAAACTGCACAACATTCCCTAGTAGCCGGAGAGGAGAAGCCCTCCTAAACGGGTCATAGATAACATACCAGGATTTCTGAGGACACATATCGTTTTCGTTATCAATCTAATCCTAGAAACATTGTTATAATCAAACACAAACAAACAATAGTTCTTCAGGATACAGAAATTACACACCAAGGTCATGTAATAGTGCTCATGTTCAATAGGATGGAAATAATTCCATTATTTTTTCTCCAAATGTATCCATTGAACAATGATTGAAGACCAATAGAAATATAATTTCTTATCTTGGTTGCAGAGCTTCTCGGCTGTTGTTGGGCCAAATGGCAGTGGAAAGAGTAATGTCATTGATGCAATGCTTTTTGTGTTTGGGAAGCGTGCAAAGCAGGTTGGTATTGTTGCTTAATGTTGATTTCTTTTTTAGTGGTTATCACTATATTCATTTAGTTCATCTCACTGGCGGATTTTATGTTATTTGTTCTATGTCAGCAAATCATTTGATTTGTTTATAGCCTATCCAATGGTAGATTTTAGCATGTCACTCTAAGTTCCACAATAATTTAAATGGTTGAGAGTAATATCCTGGCATTTAAGTATGTAAACATATAAATTATCCTCCTAAGTATTATTTGAAAGGATTATTCTAGAACCTAGCACATTGATGCTTCAATCGTATTAATCCTCTTATTTTGGACAATAATCATTTTAATCCTCTGGTTGCCAAGTAGTCTGTGTTTTGAAGTTGACACTTTAGAGTTCTTGTCTGCTAGTACACTGGTTTCTCATCATTGTTCCCTGTTTTCCCTTTGAACTCTACATGGACAATGCAAATTTTCACAAATTTGTTCATACAGGCGATCCAATTAATTTTTTTTTCTTATCAATATCCCTGCGTTTAAAGAAAGTAAAAAATGTTTGAGATACAAACCCCACTGGGATTACCAGTTCACAAGGAACACATACTTATACGGAAATAACATTGATCCAATCCATTGTTAGTTGCTATCATTACTTAGGATAATTTTTGTATTCCTTTTGTTCCAGCTATATATTCTGTTCATGATTAGTTCTTCCATTAACTGCAGATGCGCCTAAACAAGGTCTCCGAGCTCATACACAATTCTTCCAATCATCAGAACCTAGACAGTGCTGGTGTTTCTGTTCATTTTCAAGAAATCATTGACATGGTATTATTTGAGGCTTGAGTTGAGTATTAGACATTTCTTATTTGTACTGCCAATAATCATTTTACTTTCTCTGTGGCTGTAAGCAGGATGATGGGAACTACAGTGCTGTTGAGGGTAGTGACTTTGTCATCTCAAGGGTTGCTTTCCGTGACAACACTTCTAAATACTACATAAATGAGCGTGGAAGCAATTTTACTGAAGTAACTAAACTGCTGAAGGGCAAGGGAGTTGACCTTGATAATAATCGCTTTCTCATCCTCCAGGTTTTGTGTGTTCTTCACATATTACACATGAATAAGACACAATTCAAGTGTAATTTGTAGGTCCTTGAGATTTGGTTTCATCACTCACATTTCCAGTTCTCTTGCATAGCTTCTTTGTTTAAGCCTGCATGAATTTTTTGTGCAATTCCAATTATGTTTTCTGCTTTTACAATTGCATAACTTCTGAAGTGGGCACTATACAGGGTGAGGTTGAGCAAATCTCCCTAATGAAACCAAAGGCTCAAGGTCCACATGATGAAGGTTTTCTAGAGTATCTTGAAGACATAATAGGGACAAACCAGTATGTTGAAAGAATTGAAGAAGCGTACAAGCAGTGAGTTTCTGACAGAATTTTTGATGCATGCTGTTATAACTAGTGCTTTATATCTATTTTGCAACGATTTAGTTTCTTACCTTGTTATGGATCTGTTAGACTCGAAGTGCTCAATGAAAAGCGAACAGCATCAGTGCAGATGCTAAAATTAGCTGAGAAGGAAAGAGACAGTTTAGAGGTGCTGATCTAAGTGTTTATGATTTCACTATTCACTATTTGGCCATTTAACCCCCTACTAATGGAGTTATTTTCCTGTAGAGTGCAAAAAATGAAGCTGAAACATACATGCTGAAGGAACTTTCGCTTCTGAAATGGCAAGAAAAGGCAACGAAGCTGGCTTCTGATGATGCTATCTCACGTGTTAATCAGTGTCAAGAGAATGTGGCAGACCTGGAAAAGAATCTTGCCTCCGAAAGGTTATTTGTTACAGATGGACAGTTTTTCCCCTCCCCTTTACATGTTTCCTGAGTAGGCATATTGGCTATAATCCAGGGAGAAGATACAGCAGAATTCTCAAACTCTGAAGGAAATGGAGTCTATTTACAATAAACATGTCAAAAGGCAAGAGGTATTGTCTCAACTTACCATTTCTTTAACCTAATCAGTCATTGAGTTAAAGTCATTTATTTCCTATATTTGAAGGTTAGAAAGACACGCTATTTTCTGTCACAAGGTTAGTGCGAATGGGCCTTTTACAGCCAACTAATAGCATCCCTATTTTTATTTGCTTCTTTTATATCTTTAGGACCTTGAAAATAACATGAAGAGCTGCAAGGACCAGTTTAAAGAGTTTGAGAGGAAAGATGTAAAATACAGGGAAGATTTAAAGCATCTTAAGCAGAATATCAAGAAGCTGGATGACAAAGCTGAAAAGGTAATACTGATGGTTTCAATTGTAACACTGAAATTATAGTTGAAGCAAGACTGGCTATTGTTTCACCTACATTCTAACACAGGATACATCAAAACGTGATGAAAAAACAAAAGAGATGGAGTCGTCATCCAATCTCATTCCACAGCTGGAGGCAGAAATACCCAAATTGCAAGAGCGATTTAATGAAGAAGAGAAAGTCTTAGAGCAGATCAAAGCATCCTCTCGAGGTGATGTTAGCTTACAGTATCCATGTTCATTGAATTATTCTGTCTGATAACCAAACTTTTCCCTTTTGTAATTACAGAAGAAACTGAGAGGCTTCGTGCTGAACTTACTCAAGTACGAACTGAACTTGAACCATGGGAAAATCAAATTATTGAGCATAAAGGAAGGTTAGATGTTGCATCTGCTGAGAAAAAGTTAATGAATGAAAAGGTAGGCCTTCTATGCACCCCACCCCCTTCTTTTTGGGAAACAAGAAGACTGCTATCAAGTACTTCAATTCGCTTTGAGTCCTTCAGTTGGAGATATATGATGCACTAATCACAAGCAAAAAATCTTCGATTTCTTATGTGCAATAATTTTTGCCATCCTAACCTGGGCTTACCAAGCCTGACACTGACACTGCAAGCTTTGTCTAACTAAATCCACTTACCCTTTTAGTTTGTTTGAGAAACATCAATTTGATTTTTTTTTTCAATTTTGTCCATTGCATTTGAACTTAGTTCCCTGTTTTTAGCATGATGGAGCTCAAGCAGAATTAACTGAAGCACAAAACCAGATGGAAAGTATAAAGGAGAAAGTTAAAACAAAGGATTCATACATTGTGGAGCTTCAAGAAAAAATAGAGAAACACCAGAATGAAGCATCTGAAGCTCGCAAAATTGAACAGGTAAATTACTTCCAGCTTAATTTTGAACCAAACCCACGTGCTGAGTTTCCTTAAGTTTAGCCATTATTTACGTGGAGTATGCTGAGTCTCCTGAATGTATTGCTCGCAAAAATTGTTGCAGGAATGCCAAAAACAGGAGGATTCACTGATCCCTCTGGAACAAGCAGCAAGGCAGAAAGTTGCAGAGATGAAAACCACTAGGGATTCTGAGAAGAACCAAAGTACTGCTCTGAAAGCAATTTTGCAAGCCAAGGAATCAAATGAAATACAAGGCATTTATGGTAGGCTTGGTGATCTTGGTGCAATTGATGGTAAGATATATTCCCTCTGCCAACAAAATAAAATGTCCTATGATGTGTGTTGCCTGACTGTTATGTCTTTGACAGCACATATTAGGTTCAATATGTGGATTTAACGGTTATAAACTGTTATGTATAAATTTTCTATATATAGTAATTTCTGTAACACTAAACTTCCTTTTCATACATGTTACAGTAAAATGTAACGTCTTCCTCTTCAGTTTTGACAAATCTCCATGCTTCATTTTACAGAAACTGTGAATGGCATTTGTTTATCCTTTATTTAAATGAGAGGGAAGGACTTGACCTATGCCTCGCATCGAATCTGACCGCTAAAATGCATTGGTTTTGCCCTGAGATGAATGCATATGGTTGTGGATCCCACTGCCACAGTATGGTAGAGATGCTTAGAATAGCATTTATTATATTTTAGGTTCTACACCCTCCTTTTCAAAACAAAGTTGGTCGTTGTAGTTTTGCCCTATGTCAAACTTATATTAACATCTACAATACAAAATGAATGCACTATGAAGACTATTGCATGGTGTATTTTTATGAAATAATTTTGTACTGTAGATGTTGGTGCATTTTTCTATGAACTTGGTCATACTCCCTACGTTCCGTTTTATGCGCGTTTGGAATGACATGGTCTCCTAAATTACACTTTGACCATTCATTTACTTTATATTATATTGTTTATCTTATAAACTCATGATTATTGGATAGTACAATTGCTTACAAATCTAACTGTATCAAGTTCGTATTACAAAAGTTTAATATTGTTAGCCAAATTATTGGTCAAAGATTTTAAAGTTTGAATCTTGATATAAATGTGCCTTATAAAAGAGCACGGAGGTAGTAGTTAGGGAAGTTTGACTTATGGCAAAACCAAGCCAACCTACATCTTGGAATGTAGGCAATAAATTTAGCAGTTGTCCAACCGTAGTTGCTATGTTTCAGGTGAATTTACATTTCCCCCAGTATGACCTTTTTACATGATATATAAATGTTAAGGACAAATATCTGCATTTTGTTTTTACCATGCCAATGTTTGTTTCTTGATATCAGTGGACGAATCCCCTCACGGATTAGTATTTATGTAGTTTAAGTCTCCCATCTTAGTATGTTCGATTAGGGAGATCTTGTTTGTAAAGGCATGGTCACCAAGATCTAGGAAATTGTTATATTTGCTAGAATCCGTGAATGTCATTATGCAATCATACAGTGTTGATTGAAAGCTTGTTTGAAGTATTTCTGGATCTTAATTTTTTAGAAACTTTGGTCTGCAGCAAAATATGATGTGGCCATATCAACAGCAGCTTCATCTGGGCTTAATTATATTGTGGTTGAAACAATAAATTCAGCCCAAGCTTGTATTGAGTTGTTACGTAGAAGGAACCGTGAGGAAACTGTAACTTGTTTGATCCTGGTAACACTCCTTTTTTTTCTGTGCTTATGTGTTTTCAATTTTTTACCTGTTAATTTCATTGTTGTAATTGGAAACTGTCACAGGAAAAACAAACGCACCTCCTTCACAAAATTAAAGAGAAAGTAAAAACACCTGAAGGAGTTCCACGCCTTTTTGATCTGGTGAAGGTTAAAGATGAGAAGCTGAAGTTAGCCTTCTTCCATGTCTTGGGGAATACTGTTGTTGCAAATGATCTTGATCAGGTTGGTCCTTGATTTTTTTTTGGTCTACTACTTTTTCCTCCTCGCATAGTTGCATGTAATTGTAATTTGTGCTGTGATTAATGGTATCTCAACACCTGTCTTTGTCAGGCTTCGCGAATTGCATATACTGCGGCAAAGGAGTTCCGTCGGGTAGTTACCCTAGGCGGTGAACTGTTTGAGAAATCTGGTACCATGAGTGGTGGTGGTAAAAGGGTACAACGAGGCATGATGGGAACAGCTATCCGAGAAAGCTTTTCAGAAGAGGCTATTAAAACTGCTGAAAATGAACTTACAAAGCTTGTTGACGAACTCAACAAGCTGCGCGAAAAAATGAATGATGCTAAAAAACACTATCGATCCATGGAAGATGCTAAATCCCGTCTTGAAATGGAATTGGCAAAAGCTAAAAAGGAGGTACATAAAAAAGCAGTGTTCTGCCTACCTTCGAGTCGGTTGTTTCTGGTGCCTTGGTCTGACTACTTTTTTATCATCTTTTTTTTTTCATCTCGAAATAGGTTGAGAGTATGAATGCACAGTATATTTACAATGAAAAGCGACTAGAGTCTCTGAAAGCTGCTTCACAACCCAAAGGTGATGAGATTCGCAGAATGAAAGAGCTGGATGGCATCATATCTAGTGAGCAAGCTGAACTAGATAGACTCACAAAGTGTTCCAGCAAACTTAAAGATCAGGCAAGTGCCTATACACTAAGTCTCATTTCCATTTCCAGGCCATATTCATCTACCTTGTCTTTTTCCCTGTCATTTGCATTCACTTTGCTTTAGAGTGGTCACATGATAAAAAGGGCCAGCTCTCCAAGTTCAGGACTCTTCTGTTTGAAATATTTTTGAATGCATCTCCTGATATTTTTATCATTGTTGCTATCAGAATCTTGCTTTGCCACCTTAACCTATTTGTAATGTATACCAGGCTTCAGAACTTCAACAGAAAATTGAAAATGCTGGAGGGAAGATGCTGAAGGACCAGAAGGCAAAAGTTGGCAACATCCAATCTGTAAGCATGTGGCCTTTTGCTTGTTTTGGTTTCCTTTCTTTGTGTCAATCTGTTTTATGGTTTGATTTTCGTAATGTCAGGAACTTGACAAAACAAGTTCAGAAATCAACAGACACAAAGTTAACATAACTTCAGGTGAGAAGTTGGTGAAAAGGTTAACCAAGGGCATTGAGGAGTCCAAGAAAGATAGAGAAAAACTTTTTGCTGAAAAGGAGAATATGATGTCTATGTTCAAAGAGATTGAGAAGAAAGCATTTATTGTTCAGGAAGAGTATAAGAAAACACAGGAGGTATTTGTTCCATTGCATTGCACTCCTGGTTGGCCCCCAATTTATTTGCGCCTTCTGATCAGGATTTCTTTATTTGTTTTTACTTAGATGATAGACAACCATAAGGTTGAGCTTGACAAAACTAAGGAAGAATACACCAAACTAAAAAAAGCAATGGATGAACTGAGAGCCTCTGAGGTATGTAATTTAGATCCTGTTAAGTGGTGGTGTCATAATTCTGCTGTATTGTTTCTTTCCACAACCTGTGTGTTTGGCCAAAAAACAGGTTGATGCTGACTACAAATTGCAAGATACAAAAAGGCTTGCCAAGGAGTGGGAAATGAAGGTGAAAACATTCAAGAAAAGGCTTGATGAAATTCAGACAAATGTTGTTAAACACATGGATCAGTATGTTTAAATGTTTCAATTTTTGCTGTAACTTTGTGACTTGTTTTCTGTGGTTTCTTTTAATATTAGTATGCATTTTTGTTTTTTCAGAATCCAAAAGGATGCTGTTGATCCTGAGAAACTCAAAGCGACTCTAGGTGATGAGCAACTAAATGACACGTGTGACATGAAAAGGGCAATGGAGATGGTGGCATTGTTGGAGGCTCAGATTAAAGATTTGAGCCCAAACCTTGATTCCATAGCAGAGTATGAATGCATGAGATGCCCATTGACAAAACATTTTTTGTATCAATGATTTCATTATTTCTCCTGATTGAACCAGGTACCGCACAAAGGCTCGCTTGTATGGTGAGCGTGTTGATGAGCTAAATGCTACCACTCAGGAACGTGATGATCTTAAAAAGTTGTACGATGGGTTAAGGAAGAGAAGGTATGTATTTCTAAATAACCTTAGAGGATCCTTAAACTTTAGCAGTTGTGTTGGTCAGTTTTCATCTCTTACCTGCATCGTATATTATTTCAGGCTAGATGAATTCATGGCTGGGTTCAACATAATATCTTTGAAACTGAAGGAGATGTATCAGGTACTGAATACATACAGCATCCTGTAGTGTAGCTCCTTTGGTTTACTTGATGTACACAGACACAGACCAGATGACAGAAAGTCGACATAGTAAGAAAACGAGATTAAGCTTTGCTCAACCCTTATTGCAACAATGTTTGTGCCAACTGAAGTGGTTTTATCTTCTACTCGTGTGGGCATTTCGCACTTGTTCAAATGAATTTTTGTATTAACTAACGATATGGTTTCAGATGATTACTCTTGGAGGTGATGCCGAACTGGAACTTGTTGATTCCTTGGACCCATTTTCAGAAGGTGTTGTTTTCAGTGTGAGGCCTCCAAAGAAAAGCTGGAAAAACATTGCCAATTTATCTGGTGGTGAGAAGGTATGTTCCATTCATGTAGTGTTGTGTTAGTCTTGTTTATTTAATGGACAGGGATGTTACCCTCAAAGTTATTGCTTAAGTTGCTGTTTTCACATGATTTTACACTTTCAGGATGAGTCAACTTGATACATAAGTTTGTTTTGGTTGTTTAAAATGAGTTCTGTAAATGATGTTCCAATCAGAATCGGTTACTATATATTGTAAAATATCAAAAATATTGTCAACATATTTATAGATCTGTGCCGTTTCTGTGGTAAAGGCACTATCAGATATAAGCCAATAAACATCATCATTGCTACAGCTAGGAGCCTAGAAGGAATATTAATATGTAATTTGATGTTGATCTGTGCTACCATAACTACTATCGGTAAATACTACCAGCTATGCACTGAATTGGGATTGACTAACACTTAAAATGGCCGTACCATTCTTTTTTAGATAATGCAAAAATTTGGCTTCATCCTCAGAGGAATTAGAGCAACTTATTACAACCAAATGACCGGACTGAGTTTAACATCACAAAGCCAACTCAAAACTCAATTCTAGTCTAGAAATAAAAGGCCATATGAAGATGCAAAGAAACACATAGCCGCATACCTGCATTCTCCAAGTTGCGGCACGAGTCCAAAACTATCTTTAGGCCTTGTTTAGATACCCTCAAAATTCCAAGTTTTTTCACTCTCTCTCCATCACATCAATTTTTAGCCGTTTGCATGGAGCATTAAATGTAGGTAAAAAAAATAACTAATTGCACAGTTTAGTTGGAAATCACGAGATGAATCTTTTGAGCTTAGTTGGTCCACGATTGGACAATATTTTTCCAAATAAGACGAAAGTGCTACTATTCATCGGGTTGAAATTTTTTTCAATCTAAACCAGGCCTTATATTGGAAATATCACTGTGCATAAAAGTAGAGACTGTTTATTACTTAATTATAGGAAATTCACTACCTGTACATCAGCTATTTTGCGTACAATACATCAGCTAGATGAGTGCAACTTGCAACAGGCAAGGCCGTGCCCAGATGTTGAATATCCCATCCCTGACTGTCTTGCCAGCACTGATGAATGCCTTGCCGACAGTTATTCATGTTAGCTGGATGCGATTCGAATTTGTATGCATACTTTATTTAGTGTATAAAAAGTTAATCCTTTGTAGGTACTCTTTTCATTCCATTGCCTCTTTTGGAAGAACTAATTTCCTTTTTAATTTAGCACTTGATATGTTGATGGGTTGGCTGATCCCTGTTGCTTTCCAAACTGCTTACCGTCGGTTTTAGCTACATAAATTACTTCAAAATTGCAACACCAATGTCTGCTATCCAAACTCCTTGCCTTCTGTTTTAGCTACATAGATTGCTTCAAAATTGTAACACCAATGTCTCTGGAATACTTACCATTTCTGACAAACCTTTCGTCTTGCAGACGCTTAGTTCGCTAGCTTTGGTGTTTGCTCTTCACCACTATAAACCTACTCCCTTATATGTTATGGATGAGATTGATGCTGCGTTGGGTAAGTCTTGCGACCCTTCTTTTTATTAATACGGGCTGTGATTTCAAGAGATTGATGCATTTATCTCTTATTATAGACTTTAAGAATGTATCAATTGTGGGACATTATGTGAAAGATAGGACCAAAGATGCACAATTCATCATTATAAGGTATTTACTATCAGCTCAGTTTCAATATTTTCTTTGCCAATACTTCACACCATCTCTAGAAAGGTGTAGTACTAGAACAAAGATGCATCCATATCTAAGATGGCCATGGGTATAATGTAATCTCACGTGTTATTTTGCAGTCTGAGGAACAACATGTTTGAACTAGCCGACAGGTTGGTTGGTATTTACAAGACGGACAACTGCACCAAGAGTATAACAATCAACCCAGGAAGCTTCGCCGAGAGCATGAAAGTAGTGTAGTGTACCCAGCTACGGGTCCTGCTGCTAAATGTAACCACCCTAGTGTCCTTCGCTAGATTAATAACCACTCTAAATGTAACCCTTGTAGTGTCCTCGCGGAACCGAGGTTCCTCGGGCACTGTGGTTTGCCGTGCACTCTGCAAAGCAGTATGCTATGTAAAGCAATTGGCAAAAGCAGTATGCTCAACCATTTCATTTCTCAAACTACTTTTCTCCCAACCTAGTGCTTGTTTGGATGCGCATGTATTCATCTTAATCCACATTTGTTGAAATGGATTAGAGTGGAATTAAACTAAATTTTATTTCATTCCACCTCAACACATGTGGATTAAGGTGGATACGCATTCATCTAAACAAGGCCTTATCGAAGTCCAGCTTGACACATTGGTATTTCACTTAGAAGCAGACAGACACATGAGGTGGAGCCCTGGTTTGGATATGTCTTGCTTTGCTTCTAAACCTAGGTACAACGCACTAAGGGCACTTTTAATGCTACGACCAGGACAATTTGCATATCAATTAATATGATACTGTGTAGGATATTTTGTTGAAGTAAAAATAACATTACATTGGAGACATGAAAACTAAAACTAGGTCTCGCATAAAATCCAAAGTTAGAAACTAGATGAAATTCATTGGAATAGGCATCATAGATAGTACAAGACAGAATAAGAGTGGATAGAATAGAGTAGGGAGGAAGATGATTGGTTGATTGGGGAGAGGACAAAGATGATGTCTATATTAGATGACTTCCCACACCTTGCTCTGCCATGATTGGTTGACGGAGGTAGTTCATTTGACATTGTGCATTTTGAGTTATAGTTTATTAGATGATGTCTATATGACATGGCATGTTATAGAAACTATTAATTAGCTTCTTCATTAAGACTACCCTAAGAGTTATGCGAGAGAGAGTTGAAGCGCATTGGTAGACTTCCGACCCCTTGCTCTGCCTGGATAGACAAGAACTCCTTGAATTTCTAAGCTTTCATGGTTTTTACTTTCAGAAATACACCACGGTCATTAAAATATTCATTTATAGCTCAGGAGGAGAGAGAACTAGATAAAAATAGTAATATTTTTGTCCTTTTGATCCTTTCTTCTTCCTCCCTCCCCGTCCTTTTTTCTCTTTCCTCCTTCCATTTCTCTCTCGCGCGCAACCTGATCTCCCCTGCCATGATTCTCTCTCACCACCGAGATGGGCCTCATGGAGGTCATGCTAAGCAGCTTCTAGCTCCCATCCGACCTCCACAAGAACCCGCGCTACGTGTGCCATCGGGAGATGGTTTCTAAGACAACTGCTCCCCTGTGGAGGCTTCGCCTCCTCTACTTGACCGCACAAGAGGTGTTCGCTTTCGTCACCACGACGCTACCCCACATCCACGGCCAATGTGCGTGGCGGGCACTACCCTTGTCTCTGCAGACCTGTTCCACGCCTTCTCGTTGAGCCACCTCTCGGCGTCACTCTGGCTCCAGCTCTCTACGTCGGTCCCGCTCCCTGCCGCTGTCCACGGCAAGGTGTCCACGAGTCTATGTCTAGGAATCTTTTGGCTTCACTTTTAGTCCCTGTATCTAAACATCACTTGTCTAAAAGTGATCTACACAAACTTTAGCTTAACTATAATTTAGGCCTTGTTTAGTTTCTCCTCCTAAAGTTTACTCTCTGCTCTATTCAATGTTTGACACATGCATAGAGTAATAAATATAGACTAAAAAATAACTAATTACACAATTTGTAACTAATTTGCGAGACGAATCTTTTAAGGCTAATTAGCCCATGATCTGACAATGTGATGCTATAGTAACACATATGTTAATGACAGATTAATTAGGCTTAATAAATTTATCTCACGGATTACTGATGGATTCTATAATTTATTTTTTTATTAATACCTGAATAACCCATGCGACACCTCAACGTGATACCACAAAATTTTACGCCCTAAATTTAAATAAGACCTTAGCACACGTCCACCTAAATTTTAGCTATAGTTCATCCAAACATAGCACCGTCACCAACAAGGCCCCACGTTTGGATCAAGTTCTCAACTGACACCAGAGTATCCGGTGACCGATTCTTAGAAGTCCACCTAAACGTTAGGTCATCCAATTCTGCCGCATCCGATATGACATCAGAGTGGCTGCGGTCCACCCTGAAGTAGGTGGGCTCCATGCTAATGCATGTTGGATAGGGTAGGACCTACACGGAGGAGATGACATGAGTGCATTGTAGCAGAGATGTCGGCAAGGTTACATTGGTGCGGGGTGGGGGGAGGATGAAGGAGGTAGAGATGCGGGAGCGCTAATGACCGTGGGGAAGCCGTGGCGGGCAACAATAGTGTTGCCTCGAGATATGGTGGCACGGGTAGCGCGCTAGACAGAAATGTGGAGGAAAGAGAAAGCAATAAAGAATAGAATGAAAAGAAGGTTATGGTAAAAATAACATTTTATCACGATTCTCTCTCCTATTGATCCAATAATATTTTAATGGATATGGTGTCTTCCAGCAAATGGAAGCCCTCTTGCCACAGCCGTGTTGTGTTGTATCACCCGCACATGCCACATGCCACCCCAATGAAGACTGAAGAGCAATTGCAGCCGCTACACTGAACATAGTCACAAACTAGAGCGTTCACTAGCTAATTAAACATTTGTCGGTCGATGTTACTCGTGTTCCATAGTAAAATTTCCCATGTTTTCATTGAAGTAGCAATACTTCTCGTACGGTGTCTAGTAGTATTCTCATGCCCTATTGTCTTGTTTCCGTGTCATGGCCTCGTGGGAACAACTTTATACGGCCGGGTAAGATTTGGACCATCTCTGGGCCGCTTTGTCTACGTCATGGGTGCTTTTCATTGAGCGTTCGAAAGTATCAAAGTTTTGCAGCAAAATTGTTCTAAAGCTTTTGTCGTGAAAAATACTACCGATGAATTGGAAAACGCATAGCTGGTGCAGTAATAATATCCGTTGGTTAGAGTAACTGATGCCATAATTATTTTTTAGAGTTAACCGATTTCCTAATAGTTGAATTCTTTTTCTATAAAAAAATTGATCAATTATGAACTAGTTTAATTTAAGATAACTTTAAAAAATAATTTATTCAGAGATCGAGAGTATTTTTTTAAATCAATTAATCTTAGATTTTAACAGGGGAGTAGTAATTAACGTTAATCATGAAAGCGATATCTCCCTGTCAACTAAACAGCGACATGTTTCGAAGGAAAAGGAAAATGGCTCACAACAACAATACTCCGTATGTACCAAACAAAACAACCAGCAAAAGCGCGCTGCCTGTTCAAAAAAAAAAAAAACCGCTGCCGACGGGACACCAAACGAGTACGAAAAGGAGATGGAGGTGGAGCACAAGACCACGAACGAAGACGAGAAGGGCAAGATTTTCCTTAAAAAGATACTACTAGTATATATACACCGGACCCATGATCTCCACTCCCACCTGTTGATTACCCTCACTACCCAATCCCTACCACTGCGTTCAATGGTCCATGATCCCTACTCGATACTACTACTGATCTACCATCACCTCCGTCTCCATGTGCGTTCATGGAGATCGCGAGCCGAACAGCAGCGACGGCGGCTCGTTGAGGTCGAACGGGAGGGCCTTGGGCCCCGTCCGGAGCTCCAGCGCCGTGGATGGCAGCGACGAGGCGACGTCCCCCGCCACTGCTGCCACAAGGGGCATCGGCGGCGCCACCACGGCCTGGTGCAGCCTGGGCGGGAGATAGACGACGTGCCAGGGCGAGGAGTGGGTGACGTCGAGCCCGCCGAAGTGGCCGCCGGGCGCCGCCAGCGCCTGGTGCGATAGCGGGAGCGGGCGAGCCTGGGCGGGCGTGGCGCCGGCGCGGGCGCGGGCGGCGCCGCGCCCGGGGGTGAAGTTGGTCCTGGCCTTGGTGCCGCGCAGCGCGAGCGCGGCGCGGTCGTAGGCCATGGCGGCCTCGACGGGGGTGTCGTAGGTGCCCAGCCACACGCGCGTCTTCCTCCAGGGGTCGCGGATCTCCGCCGCGTACCGGCCCCACGGCCGCTTCCGCACGCCGCGGTAGTGCGCCGCCTCCACGCGCTGCTGGTGCTGGTCCCCGCCCCCGACAGCAACGCCTCCGACAGTGAGGCCGCGTCCTCCCGGCCCACCACCGTCCCCAACAGCGCCACCGTGCCCTCCTCCTCCCCCTCTCATGTCCCACCCCATCTGCTGCATCCCCACCGCCCGCATCGACGCTCTCGCCCTCTGCCTCTTCTGAAAAGGTTGGACGGGCAGGGGACTGCTGCTTGGTTGGTCTCGGCAGCGGCAGCGGCAGCGGCAACGGCAAGGCAGCGGTGGGAGTAGTAACTGCTCTCTTTATACTGCTGGCCTGGCTGCCTGGGCACCTCCCCGCTCCGCTCTCGCACGGTGGCTGCTGTGGCTGCACTCCCACTAATGGCCGCGCCTCGTGCCCTCGTGAAACGGGGAAGTAGGTTTTGAGGCTGTCGCTGACCGGGCGTGGGCGTGGGCGCGAGAGCGAGCGCACGGCGTCATGAATCAGCCGCCGCGCGATTTGACGCCTTGCGGGTCCTGGGTCCTGGGTCCGAGTCCTGGACAGCGTGCGACTGGTCTCGTCCGGCGCGACGCTCGACTGGCGCCGTGACGCCAGCCCTACCACACGGGGCACTGGCTGGCTGCCACTGCCAGAGCACGGACGCCTCGTCCAGTCGTCCTGTCACCCCACCGCCCTGCCGTACCGCGCCTGCGGCACGCGCGGCCGCACGACTCTTCTCGCTCTTCACCGAGCCCCACGCACGAGCCGCACGAACACTGTCCAACGGGACCCACCGATCTGCCGGTTGAGACGTACAGTACGCGTACTACCCCTGCTACTATTCATGCGGGGTACGTGAACGGGTGCGTGCGCGCTGCACCGAACGTCCCCTTAGGCGGCTGGTGCCAACGAAACCCACCCGTGCATGACGGGTGGGGCCTGCTGAGAGCTGGTCCCAACCCCCAAGTCAGGACTGCCAGCCAGTGCCCAGCGGAGGGTAGGGGCGCCGCCGCGCCGCACCGCATTCCCCGGGAGCGGGAGGCGACGTGCCGGGGCACGATTCGGCTGGGCGCGGTTCACGTGGGGGGCCGGACCAGGGAGGGCGTGTCGTGTGGTGGGGGGCAGCACGGTTCGCGGTGGTTGGAGCGGAGGGACGTACGCGTACGCGTGTGCAGCGGCGCCGCTCATCAACGGGCGGTAGGGCCCTCGGGCGCAATGAAATCGGCACCCACGCACGGCCTATCCGGTGACCGGTGGGTGGGTGGGGCGTTTGGTACCCTGCGCCCGCCTGCGGCAGCGGCAGCAGCAGCCAGCGCCGAGCGGGCGGCACGCGCACGGAGCCCTGAGCCGCAGCGCTCGTCGGGCGCGGCGTTGCTTTCTTCGAGTCTGCCCGGGCGGGGGCGGCCGGTCGATGCCGATGCCTATCCGTCCAAATCTCGGGGGCAGAGGGCATTGATAGCGAGAAATATTTTCGGGAACGGGCATGGCGACGTGCGCCGCGGCAGCAGGAACAGGAGGGCCAGGGCGGCCTTGGGAATGCGCGAGGCCTTGACTGCCATCCTGCTGCTGGGTGAGGCAGCGACGGGCCTGTCGCGTGCTGCCACGCTGCATCGGGAAGAGGCGTGCCGTTCAATGACTCCAGAGGCTTCGCCAGAGCTTGCTACTACGCCATGCTGTGCAGCACTGCAGCCCCGAGCGATCATCGAGGATGTACCCCCTCTATCCCCTAACGTTGGTAGACACGATTTGCGTGCGGATAATTTTAACTCGATTTAGAGAAGAAATATGTGTAATATTTTTATCCCTAAATAAATTTGTTAAAAAATTAGATTTAAATACTTATCAATGATACTAATTATGTATCATAAATATTAATATTTTTAAATATATATTTAGTCATAGTTGTTTCTCGACAAAAAAAAAACGACCGACTTTTAGAAATAGAGGGAATACCACCTCTCCGTGGTTAAAAGAATTTCTTAAGTCATTAATTTCTATAATCATTTTTTAAAAACTTTAACGAAGCAAAATTGTAATATGATATTGCAATTAACAAAAAATCTTATATAAGAAATTCGAGAATCAACATGCAAAGAAATGTATTTCTTTTGTTTCAAAATAACCTCACGTCTAATTTTTTGGTAGTCATTTTTTTAAGTTTGACCAAATATCTACACAAAAATATACTACTCCCTCCGTCTCTAAATAACTATCATCGTTGGTGTGCATGCAGCAAAGAAATACAATATTTGTATCTCCAAATAAATTTATTAAAAAACTAGATTCAAAGATCTTTACAATAATAATAATTATGTACCATAAATATTAATATTTTTAATATATATTTAGTCAAAGTTGTTGCTCGGGAAGCGAAAATGACAAATATTTTTAGGGATAGAGGGAGTAATAAGTACTATTAAATTAATAGTGAAATATATTTTTATAACATCTATCCTAAAATAAACTCACATCTTATTTCTAAGGAGCCAAACTTTTTAAGTTTGGTTATAAATTAAAAAATACTATCAATATTTATATCTCTAACTAAGTTTACATGCTCAATCTGATGATACTTATTGTACATTATAATGTTAGTACATTTTTATATGTACATGGTCAAACTTTAAAAAATTTGATTTCTTGGGGGGCCAAGATGCGTGCTTTATTTTAGGATGGGTGTAGTATTAGGAGATATAAATATTGGCAATATTACATAAATATAGTTAGACTTACAAAAAGCTTGATTTCTTGAAAATAAGATGTATAATTATTTTGGAACATATGCATTAATGTATAGATGTTGTTAGCAGAGAGAAAACACATAATTGGACAACAAAAATTATTGTGAATGAATGCTTTTATTTTTTTAAAAGTTAATGATTTTTATTTGTAGTGTCTATATGAAATAACAAATATAATATGAAAACTATCTCATAGTTTTTTCAATTGGGATCATCCAAGCTCAGAAATAAACCATTTCTCAGTTTAAATGGATTTATAAAAACAGTATCATGTAACATATTTTTAAAGCTCCGAGATATAAGTTTTTTAAAACATGCTCTCTCATATCCATATCGGAGCCTACCAGAGCGAGTTGAAGATGGAAGAAACATGTATTTTCGGCTTTGTGGGACTATATTCTAAGGAGCTTTACATACGAAGCTATGTAACAAATACTCGTTTGGCACAGAAAGCAACTTCAAATAACTTGTGAAACTGTTGGATAAGTTGTGTTAAATAGGTCCTTCAACTAAACTTCGCCTATGAATCAAGGAACGTACTTAACTTGAAAGATTGTTCAGTTTAGGAGACACCTGTCTTTAGTAACATGCACTATGGTTTGGGAAAGATTTGGTATAACATGGAGCAGGGTACTTCGTCTCTACATAACAATGACAACGTATCGTTTTTTTTAGTTATTGGGGCTGTTCGCTGGTCTGGTCTGAACCAGCCAGTCATTTAATCCTCCTCTCATTTCACTATTCATCAAACCAGCCAACAATATTTTTTTCTCACAATAATTTAGTCGGAACAGTATTTTTCAGCTAAGTTTCAGACCAACGAACAGAGCCAATGCAAGAATTACATTAAATTATAGTTGAGTACGTCATCACGTCATAAACACCCATCGGAGTGCACTTCTTATTTTTAGTATTTTATTATATTAGTTAGAGAGAGTAATTGGGTTGGTTAGAAGTTACAACAAAATTACAGTGTACATGATTGATTGTGATAATCTTAAGCAGCTAAGAGCATCTCCGGCAGTTCTCCAATACAACTCTTGAAAGCTCTAGTTTGATTTTGATAAATCGATGAAATTCTAAGTGCTAACCAAATTTATCAAGTAATCATAAGATAGGTAGCATATTTCAAGTGGTGAAGCAAATGAAGATCATGGCATAATGATGGTGATGCCATGGTGATGATCAAGCGCTTGGATTTCAAAAGAAGAAAGAGAAAAACAAAAGGCTCAAGACAAAGGTATAAATGGTACGAACCATTTTGTTTTGGTGATTGAGACACTTATTGATTGTGATCACATTTAGGATCGATAGCCGTACTATTAAGAGGGGTGAAACTCGTATCAAAATGTGGTTATCAAAGTGCCACTAGATGCTCTAACTCATTGCATATGCATTTAGGATCTAGTGGAGTGCTAACACCCTTAAAAACATTTATGAAAATATGCTAACACATGTGCACAAGGTGATACACTTGGTGGTTGGCATATTTGAGCAAGGGTAAGATACTTTACCGGCGCTCTAGACAGAAAAGACGGAGGTCACTGTAAGTGACCGGACGCTGGCCTCGGTTGGACCGGGCGCGTCCGGCCGGTTGAAGCAACAAAAGATGGCGTCGGTCTCTCGAAGCGGACGCTGGGTCACTTAGTGACCGAACGCCGGAGGGTGCGTCCGATCCTGGCGATGTGGCGCGCATGAGGAGTCGCCGTGTGACCGACGCCTGGGGTGTGTCGATCAAGCATGACGGACGCGCGTCCGTCGTGATTTCTTGTTTCGGATGCTTACTAGAAACGAACGGACCTCGAGGTCCAGCGTTCGGTCACTTGAAGCGCAGCGTCCGGTCATCACCCGACCGTTGGGATCGAAGCGCTTCAAGATTTGAAGAGAGGGACACGTGGCGTGCATCGCGCACACCGGTTCTTCGGGTTCGTGTCCGGTCGGCCCGTGTTCTGTGCAGTGAGGAGCCCAACGACTCTACTTCGTGGGGGCTTCTATTTAAGCCCCATGGCCGGCTCAAGCTCACTCGCTTGGCCATTTTTATTGACATAGCAACCTTGTGAGCTTAGCCAAAGCCCTCTCACTCATTTTCATCATACATTAAACATCTTTGTGAGATTGGGAGAGAATCCAAGTGCATTGCTTGAGTGTTTGCATCTAGAGGCACTTGGTGTTCGTGTTTCGCTGTGGATTTTGCTTATTACTCTTGGTGGTTGCCGCCACCTAGACGGCTTAGAGCAGCGAGGATGGTTGAGCGGAGGGTGGTGATTGTCTCCGGCTCCGATCGTGGTGATTGTGAGGGGTTCTTAACCTTTCCCTGGCGGAGCACCAAAAGGTACTCTAGTGGATTGCTCGTGGCTTGTGTGATCCTCATCTTATGTTGGTTGTGCGGCACCCTATTGAGGGTTTGGCGTGTGAAGCCAATTAGCGCGTGAACCTCCAAGTAAGTGAATCGCCAC